CACAGCCCAAGCACAGCGTTGTATGGCTTTGGGTGGGAGGGGCTGAACCCTGCCGCGATCCCAGTTTGACAGGGACAGGGATGGACGAATCACAGTGGCAGAGCTGAGACAGGCCGCACCGGCTCTGCTGGGGGAGCCGCTGGCGGATCCTGAGCTGGAGGAGATGCTCCGAAATGTGGACCTCAATGGGGACGGCACCGTAGACTTCGATGGTAAGTGTCCTGCCCCCACCCCGGATGCTTCCCTCAGCCGCCAGCTCCCAGGCTGAGCCCAGCGCCTCCTGGGATCCCTGACCTGAACGGGCCATCTCTTCTGCAGAGTTTGTGATGATGCTTTTCACCCACTGAGGCTCCAGCAGCTTCTCACCTGCTGGCCCCAGACCAGCAGGGTTCATGCCGCACACCCTCCCCAGAGGCCCCAGGATGGAAGAGACCAGCTGGCTTCTTCTGCCCCTGACAACACCTGGCTGGCAACTTGGCTTGTCCCCTGACCACCCCATCATCACCTCCTTCCCACCGGAGGTGCTAAGAGAAAACCCACGCTCAGCTGCCTGTCATTCCTCAGGATGAGCAAGATCGGGGTCTCTCCAGTCCCTTGGTGGGTAGGGAGCTACCTGGCACGGGCAGCATTAGAAAATGGGGCAGTTTTGCCCTGGCGGATGTGGCTCAGTTGGTTAGAGCTTGGCTTCTTATACTGAAAGGTTGCGAGTTCAGTTCCCAGTCAGGACACATATCTAGTTGTGGGTTCCATTCTTGGTCAGGGCACGTGTGCAAGGCGACCCATCAAGGTTCTCTCTCACATCAATGTTTCTCTCTCTCTCCCTTCCCCCCTCTCTAAAATCAATATGCATATCCTCGGGTGAGGATTTTAAAAAGAGGGGCAGTTTTTGGGGGAAGATTGAGAGGGTGGCCTCCTACTACTTATGTGTAGAAATGTTTTTTAAAAAATGCTGAACTTGAAAAAAAAAGGGGGGGATAACCTTAGGTACCAAAGACAAAGAGAGAACTCCAAGCTGGGTGATGGGAGGGAGTGGACACTGTGGGGGCTTCAGACTGGAGGGTTGAGAGCCTGGGCTCTAACACCCAGGAGGGACCAAAGACAGTAAGAGGCTGAGGAGCAAGACATGACCCTAAGTACATTCAAGGGTATCTGTACTTGAAAAGGGAACCAAAATATACTTCCACTGACCAGCCTGAGGAATTAGCAGGGGTACAGATGTCCAGGGCCTTGGGCGGGAAAAGTTACCCTAGAGAGCCCAGAACTCGGGCCGGAGTGTGGTCTGTCCCCATGGCATGGAAAGCTGAAGAAATAGGAAAGCAATTGCTGAAGAGGGCACACTTTCAACCCAGGCACATAGGACTTAAAACACACACACACACACACACACACACACACACACACTGTCACTTCTGAAGATGAAGCCAGGTGCTGCCCAGAGCCCAGAGGTCAGCTGGGACCTGCCCTTCCACGCCAGAAGCTTTTGCATCAATCGCCAGCCAGGCCTAGGGACCAACTGCACCCATGCATGAATTTTGTGCACCAGGCCTCTAGACTGAGATAAAAAAGGAAGAGAGACCAATATGCAGCAACAGGATAGTATTAAAATTGAACAGGGAGATTTCAAAAGCTAACAATAGAACTTCTAAAAATAAAGGATATAGCCATTGGAATGAAAAAAATTATCAATAAGTTAAACAGCAGATTAGAAACAGATTAGAGAGGATTAATGAACTAGAAACTATTACCTGAGAAATCACCACTAAGGTAGCACTGAAGGATAAAAAGATGGGAAAAATTTAAAGGGTAATCACAAGTCATTAGGAGTTTCAAAAGGGAAAAAATAGAGAGAAGGGCATGAAGCCATATTCAGAGAGATGAAGTTTTTCCACAAAGACAAGTGCCCAGACTGAAGGAGCACACTGGAGCCAGAGAAGAATAAATAAAATTAAATGTATATCTACTGGGAAATAAACACAGATCCTTTATCTTCTCAAGAAAAAAAAAAAAGTTAGATGCATCTCAGTGAAACTGCAGAATACAAAAGGAAAGCGAAAGGGGTTCCACACACATACTCGCATTGAAGGGACGGCTCCGTGAGAAGGAAATTCAATCCAGAATGAAGGCAGAATGTGTACTAACAGTCAGGAAAGAAACCAGGAAACACATTGGTGGATTTAAAGAAGCATTTACTTTACAAATTTTATTTGGGGGATTTAAAAACAAGAAGGGACTGAAATAATAGACAAAGCAAAATGGAAGGCGGGAGGGGAGGCTTCAATTTTGTTGTTGTTAATCCTCACCTGAGGATACTTTTCCATTGCTTTTCCGAGAGAGTAGAAGGGAGGAAGGAAAGGGGAGACAGAGAGAGAGAGACATCAGTGTAAGAGAGACACCCCGACTGATTGCCTCCCGCACACACTCTGACCTGGGCCAGGGATTGAACCTGCAACCCAGGTACATGCCCTTGGCCGGGAATTGAACTTGTGACCCTTTGGTTCTCGGGCCGGCACTCTCACCACTGGGCAACACCAGCAGGGCTACATTAGAACTTTAAATGTTTGATTTGGGGTCTGTCAAAGGGATCATATAGCTCTGTTGTAATGTACCCCTCGAATCACAGAAGGACGCCTCAAGAAGTCGAATTAAAGAGTCACATTTATTGCAATCCGGGACTATGAGGGGCCATTCCCCAAATCTCATAGTAACAAGATGGCCGCAAAACCAGACTTATATAGGCAAAGATCACAAAGGTATTGATTACATCCCAAGGTTTGGAATGAGGAACCTGGTTTGCAAAAAAAGCAGTTTACAGAAGCAGAAGCAGCATGTTAATTATAGTTTTGGGTCTCGGGGTCACTGAATTGACAGAAACACATTATCTAGAGCCCTCGGGTCTAGAATGAGGAACCTGGTCAGACTTAAGCATGTTATCTGAATTACAGTTTTTGGGGTCTCTGGAACACTGAGTCAACAGGGACACGTTAACTGGAGCCCTCTGACCTTGGGATAACTGTGCTGTCCTTCCCAGGTAAAGGAAAATGTGCTTTCTAAGACCAGTATGACCACAACCAATGGGATATTCACAGTACAATCAATAGGGTATTCAATCGAATGGGGTGATTTATATAATTCAGAAAATCAAAATAACTTTTCTATTATTTTAGCAAACAAATAAGTACAGAAACCAAACAGCAGGGTTAAAGTTAAACTATAGTTTCTACCTGAGATGATTGCTACCATACTTCAGCTCCAGGGTTGGCATATGTTTTCTGTAAAGGGCTGGATAGTCAAGATTTGAGGCTGCAGCTGCTCACTCTGCGGTTGTAGTCTGGGTCACCAAGCAGCCAGGGTCTACACGTAAACAAATGGGTGTGGCTGTATTGGAACTTTAATAAAGAATTAATTAAACTTGATTTATTGATCAAGGAAGTTTGAATTTTATAAACTTTTATGAGTTCAAAAATCTTCTATTATTATTCCTTGACTTTTCCCAACTGTTACAAAAATGTGAGAACCCTTCTTAGCTCGGGGGCTCTGTTGGGCCTGTGGACTACAGCTTGCTGACTCCTGAGTCTTGTAATATGGAAAATCACCATTTCTGAGAAAACTTTGCTAAGATTGTGGAATAACAGAAAGTTATGAGCATAGTGTTGCTTACTTTCAGTGACTAGTTTTCGTGCTTTCTTTTTCCCCATGTTTGTTCTGATTATATTTATTGGAATGTAATTTTATGTCTGATTAATCTGGTAATACAGACTGTGGCTTGATTCTTTATATCTTTGTGTTTTATTTCACTTTTCTAGTTTTTATCTTCAAGTATTGATTCATGACAAAATTAGAAATGAAAACTGCTTTTCATTTCAGCTAGTTTAAGAACTGGTGACTTGGGAGTTCCTGCATCCCAGCGGTGCTCCAAAAAGTGTCTTGACGAGGGGGCCGCAGGTTGGAAGTGTGGGTGGGCCAGGAGAACAGGAGCAAGAGCAGGGGTCTAGGTGTTCATTTTCCCCCCAAAAGTCACAGAAATCCAAAGGCACTGTCCTGGCTGCTGCATACATAGTGGAGGCTAGACCAAGCCAAACCCCTAATGGCCCTCACGTTTTCCTGGGGGACACAGACGTAAACATGGAATTACATGAACAGGGTCTCCTCAGCTCACAAGTGTTCATCCAGCCCTGAGGTTGGCCGGTTGGTGGCCACCAGCTCAGCGCCCTTCTCTGCCCCACTGGTGTCATGGAACCCTGGCTATGACCCTAACTTTGCCCTTGGGTGAGTCAACCTCTCTGGGTCTTTCATCTGTAAAATGGGGCTGAGGAGGTGAGGACCAGAAATAACCTGTATTAAGTGCTTAGCACAGGTCCTGGTGCCTTCTAAGAGTTTGATAAATGGTAGCTCTTTTGATCTCAGATGTCAGGTTCTCAAAGATGTTGTTTCCTTGTTCTTAAGATTCTGAGATATTTGGGTTTTTCAAAATCCTGAGACGGCCTGTTCCCAATGTTCTGTGGTTCCAAGAGTCTTTGATCACTGAGCTCACTGTCCAAAAGCCCTTATCCCCTGTCCTTTGTCTCCTATTCCTCCCAACCCTTGGGCCTAGGAAGTAGGGCAGTGGGTGGAGGGGGCTGGGCCGCGGCCTTGTCATGGCCCACATTCAGAGCTGGCTGTGGCCGCCCAGGGCCCCAGAGCCAGACTGGAACCAGGATAGCAGCCTCCAGGCCCCAGGCCTGCGTCATCGGAGTGCCCTTGGCCAGGACAGGAACTAATGCTGCCCCTACAGGTGGAAAAAGGGGCTGGGGCAATGGGAAGGCTGGAAGAGGCCCCCCCAGGCTTTCAGGGCCGAAGAGCCCGAGGATCCAGCTCTGCCCATAACACGCAGCCGGGCAAGTCTTGGAGCATCAGGGCTGTCCTGTGCACAGTACGGGGAGGGGTGGTCCTGGCGCCCTTCAGTCCCGGGGGCAGCCTTTGCGGCAGGGGGCTGCGGGCAGGTTGGAAGGAAAGAGCAATTCTTTGCTGGATAGAAGCACCCCTTTTATTAGCGTACAACACCACCACTCAGTAGTCCCAGGGCCCGAGGATAAGTTAAGGCACAGAGCAGGCAAAGGGCGACTTGCCAGGCCCAGGTAATGGGCGCAGGGTCGGCAGACCCCAAACTTCCTGAGCAAACTCCGGACTGGACAATGGCCGAGAGCGCCCCCTGGGGACGAGAGGAGGCCGCCGGGGCCGACGTGGATTCCTGCTGTCCGGCTGTCCATGGGCGGCTCACTTCTCAAAGTAGGGCAGGTAGAAGAACTGGAAACCCCGGTGGCCCTTGACCGCGCAGTAAATGAAGATCACGTGGTAGACTGTGGGCGGGGCCAGTCAGTGCCTGCGCTCGCCCACCCTCCCCAGGTCCCGCCCCGCCCTGCCTCAGGCCCCGCCCCGCCCCGCCCCCCGGCTCGCACCTCCCGGGACCAGCAACAGGAAGCCTGGCACGAAGAAGATGGCGCTGGAGACACCTTCGGGAGGAGAGGAGGGGCCAGGTCAGGGCAGGGAGGCGCCTTCTGGCTGGGAGGGTGGTGAGTAATGGGAGGGGAGCGGGCTGGCCAAGGATCGCTGGGCACAAGGGGAGTGAGCGCTGCCTGCGGAGTGGGGGGCGCTCACCTGGTGAGGGGGCCACCTCCAGTCCCACGCCGACCAGGATCAGCACTGCACACAGACGGGGCCGCAAGGGTGAGGGCGGGAACAGGGGCAGGAGCTGGGACCTCCAACCGCAACCCCCAACATGGCTGAGGCCCGAGGAATGGAGTTCCCCCACCTGAGCTGAAGGTTCCTGGGCAGCTCGCCAAACTGTTTTCAGAGCAAGGGCCCTGGCAGGCCCTGGGAAATGTCTGTAAGGAGAGACTTTGATCTGCTCCTTGGTGTGGTCTTTCAACAAACATTTTTGGGGCTCTTGGTATTGGGAATCCCTGGGGGGTGCAGGGGGAGGCAGATGAGGTCTCTGCCCTCATGGCCCTTCCCTAGTAGAGCGAACAACAAGAACCTCCAAGCTACTGCCCCCGTGGTTAGGATACGGTGCGGTCAGAAGAGACAACATGGGAGCCTGGGGGTCAAGGAGGCGCTTCTTGGAGGCAGTGGTGCCTAAGCTGAGCAGGGGCAGCAGTAGCAATAGCAGTTTACGTTTAGCAAACACTTTCCCGGTGCTGCCAGACACTGGGCTAAGTGTGTTACATGCACACTTTGTCACCTTGACCGAATGAGGCATATTTATGCCCATTTCTCAGAAGATGAAACTGAGGCACAGAGAGGGGAAGTAACTTGCTCAGGGCTGCAGTTGGAAGGGAGTGGCTTTCTGACTGGACGTTTTGCTATGGGTGTCGCTCAGGCAGAGAGGGAACAATCTGGAGGGAGCCTGGGTTTTCTAGGAGCTTCCAGCTTTTGGTGAGACCGCAGAGACAAGAGCCCAGGCTTGAGGAATTGGCAAGGCCTGTAGGCCCGGGGACGGCCGTGGGCTTTGGCTGAGGACAGTGGATGCTGGGGAAGTGGACAAGTCAGGCTGGATCAACTTTTCAGACCGAAAGAGTCCTGGGCCCCCGGGTATAGGATGGGATGGGGAGAGGGGAGGAGCTGGGCTCTGCAGCAGTGGGGTGGGGGGTACGGCACAGCGACTTGAGGGGCCTCTATGAACTGTTATGTGGTTTTGCCCTGTACAGAGCACCTCAAAAAGGATTTAATGGGGGCTGGAACTCACCCCCTGCACCCTGGCTTAGGGCTGTGGGCTCTGCCCACTCAGAGTAGGCATCTGTTTCTAATTCCTACAAAGGCCCTTTATGGGAATGTCAGGCCTGGCGATGTCATTAATGTGGGTTTAAACCCCAGCTCATCTACGTCTTAGCTGTGACCTGAGAAAGTCCTTCACCTGCCTGAGTCTGTGTCCTTATTTCTGGACTGATCATCATGCTTGCCCTGCTGGGTGTTGAGAGGATAAAATGAGGTAAGGCAGGTGGCTAGTGTGACAGTGCTCTGTGTGCCGGCATTGGGGAAGTGGCAGCTCCCTCCCCTGCACACAGACACCAGAGCTGAGGCAAGGATGCTGCTCGACTTTCGGTCCAGGCGACGTGACCTTCCTGGAGGAGGGAGGGCAGCTGCCACAGTGGGGGCCTCCTTATGGGCCCTCTTGATCCCAACCCTAGAACCTTTCTGGGGACCCTGACTCCTCAGCCCCATTGAATGAAAAGTGAGGAGTCAGAAAACATCTGGCTGTGAGGTCTGCCTGCTCTGGGCCTCAGTTTTCCTATCTGAGCAATGGGGGAGGGTGGGGGTGGAAGAGAGGTCCTCGTCAGCTCTCAGACTCCAGAGAACTGGGAGTGACGGGTGTCCTGTGGACCAGGCTGGCAGGGCACTCAGCAGCCCTGGCCCATGAGAACGGGCACCTCCCTGAGCAATGGGCCCTACACACAGGTTCTGGGTGACGACCCTACCTCTTCCTTGCTGTGTGACCTCTGTAAGGTGAGCAAGACAAACCTGCCCTGCACCTGGTTCAAATCAGACACAGAGCAAATGCATTAAACAGGCTACGTTAGAGAATACAGTTTGGAACAGTGAACAAGGTTCCATTTTCAACTTCCTGTGATTTCCTGGCTGTGTGATCAGGAGGCTGGGCCTGCCTCTCTCAAGGTCTCAGTGTCCTCACCTGTAATCGGGGGGAGGAGGAGGTAAGGGCAGCCAGCTGCCTCCTCAGGATGCTGGGAGGCTCAGTGTGCCAAGGGAATGCAGAGCCTGCAGAGGAGGGCGGACCCCTCCCAGGGGCTCAGGGACACTCACCCAACCCCAGCAGCAGCAGCAGGAAGGAGGCCAGCACTACCTTGCGGTTCTTCTGGATCAAAGGGTGCTGAGTCCAGCTGGGGAGCAGAGCAGGTGGGTGTGAACGAGGTGACAGGGGGCCCACCCTCTTCTGTCACCCTCCCTGACCCAGAGGCTGTCTGTCCTGGGCTCTGCCATGGGTGGCAAGGAGGTGGGGTCTCACCTGCAGCAGGCATTGTAGGAGCGCTGGGTGCTGTTGCTGATGGTACTAAAGGACCACTGGGAGCTGCGGACGGAGGATGTCCGGCCAGAATCCCTGCAAGACAGGTGGGCCCAGTGAGAGGGAAGGGGAGGCAAGGAAGGGGTCCCTTTGGGACAGGAGTCATGATCATGTGGCTGGGGAGGGAAAGAGACTAGGGCTGGGTGTTCCTGTAGGATAGGGGGCCCTGACAGGGATGGGATCAAGGGAATTCAGGGGCTGGGGGGGGGCGTTCTGCAGACTGAGGTGGAAGGTGGGGGTTCAAGCTAGGGATTCCTGCAGGACATGTGACCTGGGGGAAGGTAGGGGCCAGACCCAGCTGGGTTTTCTGCAGGATGAAGAGGCTGGTGGGGGTGGGTGGGTGAGGCTGGCACTAGGGTAGGGTGACCCTGCAGGACAGGGAAACCCAGGAGAATGGGGACCTGGCTAGGGGTCCTTGTGGGATAGGGTGCGAGAGCTGAGTGGGGGAGGTGGACTGAACGGGGAGCCAGAGGCACAGCAACAGGGGTACAGGGTGGGTCCCCACCTGGCCCTGACCTGGTGTTGACTCCCCCATCTGGCTCCGGAGACACCTGGGCTCCTTCCTCATCGTTCTCCAGGTTCTATTCCAGAACACAGGGCTCAGGGTCACTGGCTCAGCCCTTCCTCACTCCCCCTCGGCCAGGAGGAAAGCCAGGCCACACAGCTGCTTGCCTGGCCCCTCCCGGCGGAGCAGAACGGGTTTGTGAATCATCAAACCGAAACCAGGTAGTGGGTGGGAGCTGGAGGCTTTGGGGGCAGGAGCGCAGGGGCGGGTGGAGGGCTCCCAGCGTAGGTCCCGGGGCCAGGGGCTAGCCCAGGTTTGGGGGTCAGGGGGGAGCTGTCGGGATGGTATTTCAGAGGCTCTGGATCTGGGGTGCAGGGAAGGGCAGGCCCGTGGTTTCCTGGTTTGGGGCACAAGAATCTGGTCCAAGTCTCCCCGAAAAGGATCCTAGGGTTGGTGGAGGTCATCTGGGGAAATGGGGGTTTCCAGCTGGAGGGAGTCGAGGTGGGCAAGGGCTCCTGTGAGCGGGGGGCGGGAGGGATGGAGACTCAGAACAGAAGAGAGGACGCAGGTTCCTGCCAGAGCATCTGGTTGCCCTGAACATGGACAAGGTCTGGTCAGGCACCGAAGGGCTCCCAGCTCCCTCCTAACATCCGAGGAGGGAGGGGGTCGGCGCCCAGGGCGGGCGAGGCCTGCGGCGGGGCTGGGGGGGCGCTCCCGGGGCCGGTCCCTGGGCGCTCGAGTGGCGGCTGGGGGACCAGCATCGGAGCCGAGAGGGTCTGGGCCGGGCTCCATCAGGGGCCGCGTCGGGGGGCGGCCTCCCGCTCCGGCCAGGGCCTCGGGGCAGGTTCTCCCCGGAGCTGGGGTTCTCCAGGTCCGGCCTGGGGTCCCGCCCGGAACCGGGCGGGGGTGAGGAGGGCCGGGCCGGTCACCTGGTAGCGCAGCC